AGAGTCACCGTGACACAAAAGTGTCATAGATTCGAATCTCATCCACCCTTCCTTTCAAAGTGGAACGCATCCACAATTCAGCCTATCAAGCTCTCGTGTAAGGGGGCATAATGGATTATAAACAATATTTATGGGTCTCAACCATCAAATTAAATTTTTTGTTAAATTAGTTACTAACATGTTCTATACTCTATCAATTATAGTGATTATATTTAACTATAATAATAATTGATGGTCTTTGAATAATGACAAAATGACACGAAGTCGTACAAAAGTTAGGAAAATTTTCTTTATTTCATAATAGATACATTGTATGTACTCGTATGTAAAATACTTAAATGTTTCACAACACCACATTTCTCTCAACTATTGCAAAGAGGCCATCTTATCATATACCTATACAATGAGGTGTCAATTTAAGTCACTGAGTTGGGTTCGATTTAGTCTACTGAGGTGTCAAATTGTAGTATCCATGTAAGATGAAATTTTAATCGGGTTCGATTAACTCTAGTCGAAGGACTCGAATCTATTCTTGACATGTATTAAGTTGAGTTATTATTAAGTTGAGTTTGGATATATGCTACCTTTGCACAGTTGTTGGTCCGACTGTGTACACCAATCCCAACATCCCTTATTTTTTTTACCCCATTGCTAATGTATGGGTCAAACTTATAAAACTTTTATCATGAATTTTCATTAATCTCTAAGTGATAATATATTCATGTGAGTTTTTATTAGAATCGTCTATTATATATTTTATTAATATTAATTATTTTTTTAAATTTTATGCATATACAATTACAGATATAAACGTTTGAGCACAAGTATTGGAGAACTTGTAAAGTTAAATGGAATAAAATAAGGGACATAGGAAATTTCGAATATGAGATATGGTATGGTCGGAACAAAGCTTGGTGGAAATGGAAAGTGACCAATGTTAGATTGTTTAGTACTGTAGTCCAGGAGGTACACTGTACACAGCCATGTCAAACCAAAAAGGCAGGAATAGAAGTGTTTTGTTTTACACTTTTACTAGTTTGTATAGGCAAGTTATATGTGTGCTACGGTGTTTTTGTGCATACAAATGCACAACTAATAAAATTTCTTCTCGTCTACCAATTAGCATATGTACTCTCTGTGTTGTATAATATTTGATACAATCAACTTTGCACACATATCAATGTACTAATTTGACTATATTTTTATTAATTTAAATATTAATGTAAATTGCTTTTAAAATTATATAATGAAACTTCATACTATGTATTAACACCTACTTAACAACATTTATGATAAAATATGATTTTATTATGTTAGTAAAAAAGTATGGTAAAAAATAATACATAAATAGTAAAAAAAGTTCAACGTCCTAGATATTCAGGGACGAAAGGAGTATATATATACCAAAAGCAATACTTCGTATAAAACACAAGTACAACAAATTGGTTTAAAAGAAAATGATACTTGTATAATGTAAGACAATCAGGTAGTATTATTTACTAATGACTTTCCTTTGTAAAATTTAGTACTACATCCTTTTTAAATTAATTACAACGATTAGACATTTTCTATTCATACACTCAAGCACAAGAATATAGGTAAAGTGATGGGGAAATGATACTCCTTCCGTGTTTTAATAAAATGTTACAGTTTGACCAAACACGCTTTCCAATACATGACTTTGACCATTAATTTATCTAATCATATGTTAATAAAATTATAAAAAAAAATCATATTATGAAAGTATACATTATAACAAATCCAATAATGTATTATACGAATATACGATATCATTTGTTTTTTAATATATTATTGAATTAATTAAGTCAAAACCATTATGTGAATAGTGGAAAAAGTTAAACTGTAACACTTGTTAAAACACGGAGGGGCTAATAAATGTTAAGTAGAGAGAAATGACCGATGAGAGCTCAAACATGTGAAATCGTTGTAAATAATTTAAAACGGGTCTCAAACAATAGAGGTATTATGTTTGACATGTCACACTATTGCTATGATGGTATTATATATAATTTTTTTTTTCTGTTCACATAATGATTTTGACTTGATTAATTTACTAACAATTTTTCGGGGTTTTTTGTCCCTCGGGAGAGTTACAACACTAAGACTGGATCCAGCAAGGTCGCCTGTACCTGCAAAAAAAACGGACCGCCGGATGGTCGGTGGTCCGCCTCCGAAGATTAAGTTAGTAAAGTATTCGGAGTAAAACGTGCAGAAGTAAAGTTATCTGCTCGGATTCCAAGCTCGGGTATTGTGCTGTCTGTTTTTTGAGAACGACAGCTCTGTAATAAAGGTTGATGTGACGTGTTGTCTCGTGTTACGTAACGTCCCCATGAATGAGGGAATTCTCCCTATTTATAGGGTCTTTTGGGGAAGTGTGCCCTCCCTAGGGTTTGATGATCTAAGGATTAGGGCATGCCGCAAAACGGCGCCTCAAAGTTTGGGCCTTTGAAGGCCGCCATTTCAGAAGCGATATCTGAGTGACACGTGTCACTCATCCCAAGAGGCCATTTGGGCGCCTATTAGGGTGACACGAGTCACTCTCCTATTGGTCCACTTTGGATCATCAAACACCCCAAATCAACGGTGATATCTACCTGACACGTGTCACCATCTGGAAGGTCCAAGGTGGAGCCCCTTCCAGTGACACGTGGCAATCTCCGATTTGGCCACTTGGCTGGGTATAAAATACCCAAATCATATAAAAATAAGTGTTATTGTACAACACATTGCTAGATTTGTTATAATGTATTATTTTATAATACCGTCTCTATTTTTTTAAGTGTCTCACTTCTACAAAATGACCGTTTTTCAAGGTGCTTCATTACCAAAAGTGGAAACCCCACTCACGTTATATATTATTTCTCTATCTTCTTTTTAACTCAACTATCATTTATAATATTTTCTCCCTCTCACAATATTCTTAGTGGTTCTCATTCATATTTTTCTCTCTTACTTTTTCAAATTTTTATTCCTAACCATACCCACTTATATATAAGCATTTTATTCTATTGCCTAAAACTATGTGTCAAAGTCTCAAATAGTATAGGACACTTAAAAAAATGGAGGGAGTATCAATTTCCTACGGAGTATAATTTTACTAACATATTGAGTAGTAGTAGTAATTAGATATATAAATTATGCTCAAACTCGTCGTAGTGTCTCGACATGTATGTTTGATTAAACACTTATTAAAACAAGGCGGGAGTAAATTGGATAAAAGGTCTAAAATTTTAAGTAAAGTTTTGTATATAGAGTTTTCTGGATTTTTGGCCATGAGTCTCAAATTTTTAATCCTGTCACACTTTCATACTAAACACATGATGAATCGATATACCATATACCCTAATTAGGGCATGTTCTCATTGAGTGAAATTAAATGAGTTGAACTGAACTAAACTGAACTTATTAATTAGTGATTTTTAACTACGGATTAATGATCTTTGATTATTTATATTACTATATATATGTGTATATACAAATATACATATTAAAATATTTATGAAAAATATACTATATGATTAAAATATTTATGAAAAATATACTATATAATTAAAATATTTATGAAAAATATACTACCTCCGATCCAAATCACTCGCAACTTTGGAATATTTTATACCTCACAAATAATACCCCAAAGTTGCGAGTAATTTGGACCGGAGGTAGTATTAAAAACATGAAACCCCAAAACATTTTAAAAACATATAATAAATAATAATAATAATAATAATAATTATTATTATTATTATTATTATTATTATTGTCGTTGTAATATAAGTTTAAAAGTATGAAATTTGGCTTTAAATCATTAGCAATATCATTAGACATAAACTTATTAGGGATGAACTAAACTGAAAAATAATCTAATGAGAACAAGTCTTTATTTTACTTCTTGTTATCATCCAAAATAGGCTGAAGTTTAAAAACCCGATATAGAGCTACTTAAGTATTACTTCGTATAAGATAGATTAGCACAAAAACACTTGCGTGGACCTGGTCCACAATAATATTATTGTGGACCCGAGGTCTATACACACGCAACTGACATTATATTGAATATAGTGACCATTATTTTTAACATAGTAACCTTATTTTTAACATAGTAACCTTTATTAAAACTACTACAATGTTTAATAATATTGTAAACTTGAAATACGACGCTATTACCTAATTTTAGCATAGTGGTCTTTATTATTCATATTGATTAGTATATAAAATATTTCATTACAAAAATAACCACTTAGGCCTATATATTACCAAAATGATTTTTATTTCAACATAGTGACCTTTTTTAAAATTATAGTGACCCTTTTTTTTTTTGTTAATAAAACAACCATACTTTCTCTAATGTTAGTGGTCCACAATAAATTAGTGTGAACCACGTCCATTTAAGAATTTATAAGATTAGCATCATAGATAATGTTGAAGGAAGTAGTGAGGGAGGTTAGTTATGCATTTGCAAATGCATAACAAATATTAAAATATTAAAAAGTACATGGGGGTGAGAGAAAGGAGGAGAGAGATGGGTAAGTGGGGTCACTTTTTAAATGTGTCATTAAAAGTTAAAATAGTACCATTGACTATGTAGTGATACTATTTCTACCGTAATGATATTATTTCTACACGTAGTGAGTACCACTAAATGAATATATAGTACCACTACATACATAAATAGTACCACTGAAATGTTCAATGATACCATTTAATCATCCAGTGATACAATTGATCACCCAATGGTACTACTCTAAATTCATAAATGCATTTACGTGAAATGACACCCATGCCCCTCGTTATGCATTTAATCATACATAACTAACCTCCTTTTGGAAGGCCTCGATAATGTTGATTAATTAAGTTTATACAAGTAATATAAAAAGCAAATAGATCACGTTGTAAAAGAAAATGTGGGGTAAGAAAGCAATAAATGTTGGACGTGTTTGTCTAAATTATGAAAGCAGCATATCCGCTCCATATAAAAAGAAATCAGTCACAACCACGAGTGCTAATAAAGTGAGTAAACCATTAAAATACACATACAACAAGTTTCACTTAAAAAAATAAGGTTGGAATGGATAATTTTGTTGAAGAATACGATTTTTATTGGGAGACCAACAAGTACATCCACACTCAAGAACTTCAAAGGTGCGTAACTACATCTAATTATTCTCTATTGTCTTTGTTAGTAATGTGTTCAACAACTTTTTCAGTGGCGTATCTAGGATTTTTAATACACAGATATTCGCAGCTTGTGTTTGAGCATTTGAATTCCTTTCACATGTCGTAGTATATGATTGATATTAAATTAAGCTATATTATCGACTGTAGTTGGGAATATGGAAATGTTATAGGGCCTATAACATTATGCTACAACAACAACAACGACAACAACAACATGAGCTCAAGCTCGCCTGATGGTAGTGCTTACTCGAAGATGTACATGGATGAATCTAAAAATGTCGTGTCCGAAAGAAATCGCCGGAAGCAATTAAACGACCGTATTTATGGTCTCCGAGCAATTGTTCCTAACATTAGCAAGGTACAATATTCTTTCTTAGCTTGAGACTGCTTTTATTAGTTAATTAGGTGTAGCTCAGAAGAATCTGTGTACCTATTAATTCCTTCAGTAGATGTATGTTTTCAAGATTTTATCCAACATTTCCACTGATTGCTAAACTTTTGGAAGTGTACCCAAGTTTTGCCATCCCTTCCATCCCTAAAATCGTGCTTGTATTTGGGAATTTTAAAAGGGTCTATATAAATTGAAAGATTTGAGTGTATAATAGACAATAAAATATTTTACTATTAAGCTCATTTTTATTTAAATTTTAAATGATTTTTAAACTCTTTCCAAGTTTTAGCTTAAAAAATTATACACTTGGTGACAATTTTGAAGTTGTATTTCAATTAATTATAAAAATATAAATGTTAATTACCCCCAATTTAACTTTTGCAACTCCCTCTGTTCCAAACTAGTTGTCATACTTGTAACAAACTTAAATTATTTGCAAATGCGCGTTATATTTACATGGCAATTTGCAAATGCATATTTAGATGGACAAAGCATCAACAATCAAGGATGCAATTGACTATATAAAGGAACTACAAGAGGAGGAGAGACGAATCAAAGAAGATATATCAAAACTAGAGCTCAGGAGACAGAACAACAGCAATGAAAGCTCATCTTGGTGTTCTACAATTGTGCTTGAACAAGAATTGTCTACTTTGCTAACCAACAACAGTAATAATGATCATCACAAACGATGCTATGATTCCAATAAAACTGGATGCAGATCATTTCTTTTAGACGACTTAAAAGTAAGTACTTGTTCTCAATCAATCTCTTGTAATTTTGTTCAATTCTAAATGGTTTGCACAAATATGTGTTGAACTTAAATTATTTTTAATGAAATTGATTGAGATAAGTCGGAGAAAAAAATAAATTAATTAGCTAACAATTTGTAGAGTTTAGGACAGAATGTTACTATGTTAGTCAATTTGGAAGTAATGTCAAGTTTGGGAATTTCATACACACATCATATATGGTAGTTTTCAGGATAAAAATTGAGTCAATTTTTTTCCCCAGTTGAAATTAAGATAACTAGATCTGGAGATAGAGTTGAGTTGTTCATGTGATTGTTGTTTAAATCTAAACATTTATCAGAGATTTGGTTGGAGTGTAGCTTGTTCAAGAAAAAAGATATTTATGATTCTGTTTATCCTATTTTACTTGACCCGATTGCATAGAATTTCATGTTAATAGAAGTGTTGAGAGTAGAAAATAGGTGGGTGAGTGTGAAACCCAACTCGATTGAATTAAAATTAAACCGAATATTAAAGACAGATCAGTATAGCAGGGATCTAATTCAAAGACAGAAATGATCCGAGACCGCATAATTAATTAAGATACCTTACAATTAAAAATGAGACGAGTAATAAAATGAAATGAGGTGATATATAATAGTACGGAGTATATTTTAACTAAAGCTTTATTTGGGTAGCGAAGAGGAAGGAAATGAAGGGGAGGGAAAAAGGAGAAACGGAAGGGAAAAGAAAGGGAGGGGGAGGAGAGCTTGATTTTCTCTCCAAATCTCTCTAATAATGGAGGGATTATGCGCAGTAAAGAGAGAGGAAAATGGATCCCTCCCTCTCCTTCCCTCAATCTTTTATCGAAACAGGAAAATTTGTCTCCTTCCGTTCCCTTTCTCTTCTCTTCTTTTCCTTCAATTTCTTTGTATCCAAACAAAGCCTAAGAGCTTGTTCTGATTTAGTGAAATGAACTGAGCTGAAATAAAGTAAACTAAAATGAATTGAACTGAACTGGTGAGAACTAATTGAACTGAATTGTTTATGATGGAAGGAAATTAGAAATTGAGCTGAGCTGAAATGCTAAGATTAATGAATTAATTTGTTTATTTTTGCATAGGTAGGGGTTTCATACGCTGGAGGAAGGACTATTATAGTAAGCTTGAGCTGCAGTAATAGAAATGGGATAATGGTGAAGTTGTGTGAATTATTTGAATGTCTAAAGCTCAGGGTTATCACAGCTAATATCACTGTCGTTGGCGGAAGAATTTTGAAGACCATTTATGTTGAGGTTAGCCTTTGTTTGTGTTCTTTTCTATTGCTATATCTATCTCCATATATCTATCACTTGAAAGCATAAGTGTAGCATCATGCTACTGATTACAATGAATGGTATATTCGATCCAAATCCATTAGATTCACTCTAATTGAAGACCCTATGTATTGCCGTATTGGTCTAGGGTAGATTTAAGTCTAAATGTCTATTATGGATCGGGTACAATAAATTTAGACTCTAGCCCGACCTATATTCATTGGACATGTGAACCTTTTACATTTATTACATATACTACGTATATGTCCTTTTAAAAGATGTAGGCATATAGAATTGTAAAGCATATAGAAAGTGTAGAAATTAAATTGAATTACAATGCATGTTTCATCCCTTTATATAACGGGGATGATCATAATTTCCACTAAGGGTCTGTTCGATTGCTCTGATTGATTGAACTGAACAGAATTGAACTGAACTGAATTGAACTTGTTAAAGCTGAACTGAATATTTTATGAGAAAAAGAAATTAAGATAAGAATTGAACTGAACTGAATTTTTTCGGAGCGTTTGGTTGGAGGGATGAGAATAAGAGGGATAAGAAATGAGGATAAAGATAGGGGATTGATGGTGGGACAAGGATAAATAATTTTTATTCCATGTTTGGTAAGTATGGGAAACAAATTAGGGATAAGTAATAAATTTATAAAATACCTTTACTAACTTCTACTCTTTTCTTACTCTTTCAATTTCATTAAGGGTAATTTTATCTTTTAAAACTCATTTTTATCCCTTCCTCTTATACCTCACCCCCCTAGTTATAGAAATGGAGGGATAAGTGGGTGATTTTATCCCTTTCCCTAACCCCATTCTAATTCTAATCCCTCTAAACAAACACTACATTTCTTCTATCCCTATTTTTTATCCTTGTCCCACCCCTTTTATCCCCCTAAACAAACACCCTCATTGAAGCTGAACTGAACTGAATTGAAAATAAGCTGAAGAGAACAAGTACTAAATTATGCATTATAAACATATGTAAATAAGCGAGTAAAATGTTATATTTATTTCTAAAATTGATTAGTTTGGATAATTTTTTAGCCCCAAATCCAATAGACCTAGTGGATTTGATAAGACGTTGATAATTTTTAGAACCAACATATATTTAGGTTGATCTGGGATTATATTCATTGTATTAGACGTGTTTATAATCTTTATATTCATGATTTTATTGATATTGTAGTATCTTTTATGTGTTTTGAGCTTTTAATAATTTATATAATTAAATTAAAACATAGAATGTAAACCTTAGACATTGACTGATTTGAATTTTATCAAACAGTCATATTCTTGTACAAAAACTTCAAGTACTCTATAACCCAAAAAAAATTATTTTAAACCTAAAATTGGCAATAATTGTTTTATTTTTAGTACTCGTAATAAGACTTATCAAGCTGCAGTCTCTGTTTGTTATAAGTATTAGTCCCTTCAATATTTGTCTACATGTATTTGGATTTTGCTTTAGGTTTGGACCAATGTTCTAAATATAGAAAGTGTAGTAAAAAAAACAAACAAAATCAATCCATGGATTAATTGGTCCCATTTTTATGGTACTACCCAACCCATAAATATGTAGACATATTGTGTATAGATAAGCTGTTTATGAAGATAATTTTAATTTTTTTTTTTTGGAAAGGCTGTTTGTGAAGATTATTGTAGAAAGTTAGAAAGAGTGAAGTGGAACTTTTTCCACCAAAGGATAGTTCGTTAATTGACAACTCGAATTGGTTATACATGAAAATTCTAAATCATCACGTGTATACTTCCCATGATCACCATGGTCCATGGGTGTCAATTCAATAACGTACATTGGGGATTCGGTACATTAGTGATGGTATAATTGTATGGTCATATGTTATACAATTAAAGTCTGTCTCACACCGTTAAATACGAACTACTTCCTATTCTTTTTTTATGTGCTTGATATATAATCAACTTTACAACCTAGCTACATATCTTTGTTGTTTTAAACATTTTACTTGCAACAATCTAAATATTACGGTTGTTAATGCATAAATTTGACTATTAACGTCTTTAATCACGATTGATAAATTAAAGTAAAAATTATAAAAAGATTTTGTGAAATATACTCAACTTGATCTTTTTTTTTTTTTTTTTGACAAAGAAGACTAACAACAAAACAACAAACGACAATTAAAAGGAATAACAAAGTAACTCCCTACGCCGAGCAGCTCCTGCCAAGGCATGAGCAGCAGCAACAGAGCCTCTAGGAACCTTCCTGATATGACACGTAGTAAACACCGAAGATATATCCCGGATAGCAGCAAGAATCCAAGCAACCGAAATATCTTTAGGACCCAAATCTAAAAGCATGTCAGGAATGGCCGCACAGTCTGTAAACAACAAAACCGGTGTAATCCCTAACTGAGACGCATGTTGAAGCCCCCAAAAGCAAGCAAGCAACTCAGAATGTAGAGCCGAAGAAGCCATACAAGCTCTCGCCCCACCAGCAACCACCTGGGAAGAAACAGGCTCCTGAAAGCACCAACCAGCACCCGCAGATAGACTCCGATGCTCCCAAGAGCCATCAAAAACCAAGGATATCTCATAAATATCCTGCATACTACTATACCCTGGAGAACAAAACTAGATGGACGACCAGAATCCAGTAAAGGAGTGAATAAAGGGGGTAAATTCAACAACCGAGCCTCCCTACTCCGGACACTCCAACTAGAAGCTATCTCAAGAACAGAAGTAGGAGAAAAAACCTCAGAGCGGAATTTGACGTTATTCCTAGTCAGCCAAATCGCCCAACATAGACAAAAGAAATCATCTAAAAGACCCCAATCCTTAACCTTTGCAGCATCAGACACAAAGGTTGCAAACCAAACATGAAAAGGAGTAGCAACTCCCAATCTTAAACGATGAGCCCACGACAAGGCATCCCAAAGCAAAGCCGTGAACTGGCATTCCCGGAACAAATGTTCCTTGGATTCAGAAGCCACACCACAAAGCACACATACAGGATCAATGGGTAGACCTTTTAGCACAAGCAAAGCAGAAATCGGCATAGCATTATGAAGAAGTTTCCAAGAAAATAACTTCCATTTTGGGAGGATAGGCAAACCCCACAAACGCTTCCACTAAGAACCAGGAACAGTTGCAGTAGATAAATTTGTATGCTGATCCAATAAACTTGAATAAGCCGACTTCGTAAAAAAGGAACCGTCACGAGTAAATTTCCAGTAAACTAAATCATCAATCTTCTGTCTCGACCGATCAAGACCCAAAATAGCTGAAGCTACATGCTGCGGAAAAAGATGCCTAATTAAGGAAGAGTCCCAGGAACAAGAGTCCTGTAACATTAAATCCGACACCATGGAAGGCCTATTAGCCTCAGGAACATCTGGATTAAAACAAACATCAACGCCAGGAAGCCAACAATCCCCCAAAATACTAACCTGATCTCCCCGACCAATCTTCCAGGCACTTCTTGTAGAAATGACTAAACCCCCATCCAGCAAACCCCGACTGCCCCACGAAGGACGGGAACAAGAAAGACTAGGCCGAGGATTAAGAAGCATAAGAAACCTAGCCTTATACATACGAGAAACAAGAAGTTGAGGGTTATGCATTAGACGCCAAGCCTGTTTACCCAACAAGGCCAAATTAAAGGCTCGGAACTGGCGAATCCCAAGGTCACCTGAACCCTTAGGTAGATGAGTCATCGATGAGGAAGCCAAAGCTATACCTTTAGAGTCCTTGGCTGATCTCCACAAAAAACGAGAAAGGAGGGAGTCAATACGATCACAAATTGAAGCAGACACTTTAAAAACTGAGAGAATATGGTTGAAAGAAGCAACCACAATTGAATTAATGATAACCAACTTTGCTGCCGCTGACAACTGAAACGTAGCGTAAGACGCAAGACGCTTAACCACCTTGTCTACCATAAACTGAAAGTCTTTACATTTACTCCGCCCCAAATCAACTGGCATACCTAAGTAGTCACCAATAGAGGACCGAGATTGCATTGGAAGTGCAGAAGACAAAAAATCCCTATAATCATCTGGAGTATTGGGGCTAAAGCGAACAAAGGATTTCTGTAAACTAATGATCTGACCAGAAACCGAGCAAAATTCATTAGTGACCGAGAGGATGTGGTCACAAACCGAAGGGGAAACCTTGAAAAATAACAAGGCATCATCCGCAAAGAACAGATGAGATATAGAAGGAGCACGACGAGAAACCTGCAAACCTTGGAATAATCCCATACCCTCATCCCTTCTAAACATAGAAGAAAAAACTTCCATGCACATGACAAACAAGTAAGGCGATAGCGGATTACCCTGACGGAGACTACATTGAGGCCTAAAAGTCTGCGTTGGAGAGCCATTCACCAAGATTTGGTAAGACACCGTTGTAACACATTGTTGCAGAAGATGGATCAAGTAAGGAGGGAACCCAAATTGGAGAAGTATATCCCACAGAAAATTCCAATTTACTCTGTCATAAGCCTTATTCATATCCAATTTCAAAGCCGCATAACACAGCTTAGACGATGAGGTGGACATATAAGATAACAATTAATGAGCCAAGAGACTGTTATTTGACATTAGCCGACCTGGAACAAAAGCTGGAACAAAAGCTGACCGAGACTCTGAAATCAAGAAAGGCAAAACACGACAAAGTCTATTTGTCATGCATTTAGCAATGCAGCGCATTTATACACCACATTACAGAGACCAATCGGACGAAAATGAGAAGGAAATTCTGGGTTTTCCACTTTCGGCAGAAGAACAAAAAAGGTGCGGTTCCATTCTTTTAGTAAATAACCATGAGCAAAGAAGTACTGAACAGCCTCAACATAACTCTTATAATCTCAGAGGCAGAAAAAGGCTCCAAAAGGAATTGACAATCCAAAGCCGATAAAGATAGGATACCCAGTCTGTCCCAATCACAGATAGCCGGTGGAGGAGAGGAATTATAGCAATTGTAAAT